GAGGTGACACTTCCGCATCTTGAGGTGACACTTCCACATCCTGAGGTGACACTTCCGCATCCAGAGGTGACACTTCCACATCTTGAGGTGACACTTCCACATCCTGAGGTGACACTTCTGCATCCAGAGGTGACACTTCCGCATCTTGAGGTGACACTTCCACATCCTGAGGTGACACTTCTGCATCCAGAGGTGACACTTCCGCATCTTGAGGTGACACTTCCACATCCTGAGGTGACACTTCCGCCTCTTGAGGTGACAATTCCACATCCTGAGGTGACACTTCCGCATCTTGAGGTGACACTTCCACATCTAGACCAGATTGAGACTCAGCAGACAAACCCAGCTGGGATCACAGTTAAGCTTTTGGACCAGGAACCTACCATAACTTCAGTACAAACTAGAGAGGTTAAACCTCTAACCATGCAAGAGACCCTAACTCAACCTCCAGAGGTGCCTAGGGATGTTGTAGCTCCAGTGTATTATGAAATAACAGTTCCAACACCAGGTCAGGATCAAACCCAGCATACAACCACCCCTGGTATCATAGTCACAGTTTTACCTTTGTCCCTGGAGTTTGTTGTAACTTCAGCAACTACACCAGAGGCTCCAGAGAGGATGGCAGCTCCCCATCCAGACCAGGTTCATACTCAGCCTCCGATCCCGACTGAAGTTACAGTTCAAATATCTGAGTCTGACATTACCGTAACACAAAATCCGTTGCCAAATTCCAACACGGAACAACAGGCCAACGTCAACACTGACATGAACACCAACATATGTGAGCTCTGTACCTGCAGGGATGAGACATTGTCATGTGTTGGTCTCAGCCCAGAGAAGAGACTCCGCCGAGTGCCTGTGCAGGAGCCTGAAGCCTATAATGGCACCTTCACTGTTTTGTAAGTCACTCTTCTTCATTTGTTCTCTGCATCCTGCCTCACATGGCAGCCTTTTCCTTGAGACACTTGTGGGCTTTCTTCATTGATTGACTTTCTGCTTTTACCTTTTACTTGTCAGATTTTTCCTTATCTTCATTCTCTTTTTTACTATTGTGCCCCTTCTCCAAACTTATACCTGTGATTACTCTTACTCTTTTTCTTTATCCATTTCTCTTTAGTCCCATCATATCATTGCTTACCCTCTGCTCTCCCATGTTTGCTTCACTCTCTACACAGAAGCATATTCCTCTGGGTGGTGCCTGTGGCTCAAGGAGTAAGATGCAGCCCCATATACCGAGGGTGATGGGTTCAAACCCAACCCTGGCCAAAAAAAAAGAACCCCCCAAAACCAGGTCTGTCATTTATTAGTTTTGTGACCTTGGGCAAGTCATTCCACTCTGTGGTTCAATTTCTTTCATCTTCAAAATGGGGATTGTGATAGTTACCATTTCGTAGGATTGTTGTGTGATTTAGGTGTGATTCTTGTGATTGTTGTGTGAGTACATGTAATACTTACATGTGTATCAGTGCCTAGCATATATATGTATGTTAACTATTATCATCATTATTAAGTCCCTTAATTATGTCCGGACCTCATCTTTGTACCTAGTTTTCTATATGTAGCACCCATTTTGTGCCCAACTCAGGGCAGAGTATGACATTGTCTCAAGAACATGAAAATGATAGGTAGGAAGAAAAGAAATAGGCATAAAAAGGGAGGTGGTTTATAATTAAGTACTACAAGAGATATAGATCATAGATGCCGTAATTCACCAGAATCTATAATCACTGAGGTGTGGAGGTCAGGGAAAGCTCTCTGGATAAGCTGAAACTTTGCCTGGGGCTTAGAAAGCATCTATAATCTGTTAAAGAGAAACATTGGGAGTAAAGCCTAGGCAATGGCATGGCTGCAGGAATGATGGGGATTTAGAAGACCAGTCTTGCTTCAAAGAATTGGGTTAGGAAGCAACAGAAAACGTGATTCTGAAAAACCTCGAACATCAGATATGGGAGTTTGAAAGTTATATGCAACGAGGTCTGGGGAGCCATGGAAAGTTTTTAAGCAACAGAAAGAAATGATTAAGACAAAAGGATTATTTTAGAATCCATACATAGCGTGCTCTAGAGGGGAAAGGTTAACTCAGGGAGACCAAATGGAAAGCTTGTCTAGCAAAATTTAGGAGTAAAGTGAGAAAGGACTAAATCCGAGTGCTTGTGATAGAAGTGGGAATAATGTCCTGGGCAAAAGAAGGACAGGATTTAGTGACCGACTAATGAGTTGGGGAGGACACGTATAGGGAAGGGAGAAATCAAATGTGACTCTATGGTTTCTGCCCTGTGTGATGAAGATAGTGATGGTGGTATATAACAAGGGCAGCAGTCAGAGCCAATCTGAGGGAGAGAAGATCAGTTTGGGCATTTCTTTTTTTTAATTTCTGAGCAGAAAGCTTCTGGTTAAATGGAAATGTGCACTAGGCAGATGAACAGGCAGATGACTTATTTCTGCCTCCGCCCCCAGCTGGGAAAAATACACCTATAAACTGAATAGGTAAAATCGTTGCTGAGGCACAGTGCCTGTAGCTCAGTGAGAAAGGTGCCGGCCACATACACTGGGGCTGGCAGGTTCAAGCCCGGCCCAGGCTGGTTAAACAACAATGACAACTGCAGCTAAAAATTAGCCAGGCATTATTATGGGTGCCTGTAGTTGCAGCTACTTGGGAGGCTAAGGCAAGAGAATTGCTTAAGCCCAAGAGTTTGAGGTTGTTGTGAGCTATGATGCCAGGGCACTCTACCCAAGGCAAAATAGTGAGACACTGCCTCAAAAAAAAAAAAAAAAAAAAAAAGAAAAAGAAATTATTGCTGAGGAATGGGGAACAATGTTAAAGGCAAAGGTTTAAAGTTATCCAGAGAGCTGAAACTGATTGTAAGGCATTTAACAGTTTGCTTTTAAACATGTCATTCATGGACATATTTATACTTTTTTAAAAAAAGTCATGGAACTGCATGTGTGTACGTATATGTATATGTATATGTGTGTATATGTATATAGATGATATTTAGACACATAGATGATTTTATTCATTTATTCATTCGTAACTGGTATTAGCTTCCAAGATTCGACAGACAGGAAGTTAAGCTTCTGAGGAGATGCCTCATCATCTGTGCCCGTGGCCCCACATTATTTCTCTTTTTTTTCTTTTTTCTTTTTTTTTTTTTAGAGACAGAGTCTCACTTTGTCACCCTTGGTAGAGTGCTGTGGCGTCACAGCTCACAGCAACCCACAGCAACCTCCAGTTCTTGGGCTTAGGTGATTCTCTTGCCTCAGCCTCCCCAGTAGCTGGGACTACAGGTGCCCGCCACAATGCCCAACTTTTTTTTTTTATTTTTTGCAGTTTTTAGCCGGGGCTGGGTTTGAACCCACCGCCCTTGGTATATGGGGCCGGCACCTTACTCACTGAGCCACAGGCGCCGCCCTCCACATTATTTTTGATTAATTGTGCAAACTAGGAAGCTTATAGCTCTGGAAATTAGAAAACTGGTATTATTTTCTGTATTTGAATATCTCCTGTGTTTCTTCACAGAAATTTCCAAGGAAATGCTATTTCTTACATTGATGAAAATGTATGGAAATCATACCGTTGGACTGAGAAACTGTGAGTATATTCTCTCCAAATATGAGTACAAAAAATTAGCTGCATTGTAAGATCCTTCCTGGTCCAGAATTTTGAGGTCAACACTTTTAAGGAAAGGTATTTCTTCTTCCATATCTCAAATCAACATCTGTTGATTGTAATTCTATGATTATTTTAAAATTAAATTTGGTGGGCTCTCTTTAAAATAAGAAAGAAGTAATTTAGATGTATTTTTTATTATGTAAGTATCACACAGTTAATGTATAAAAACAAAATAACAGGTATAATGGAAACCCTCCTTGTGCCCTGATGCCTGGTCCCTGCGGTAACCACTAATCCTAAGCTTGGTATATATCCTCCCAGACCTTTCCCAAGTATTTGCCTACATACATATTTACATATAGCAAAATAAATTTGTTGTGTGGTCTTCTTACATTTTTTGTTTTATATAAATGGAGATGTTACCATCTGCCAACTTGATTCTTTCACTTCCTAATGTGTTAGATTTTTCTTTCCCAGCACTTAGAGGGTTACCCTATTCATTTAAACTCTTGCATCATTCCATACTATGGATTCCATACTATGGCTATGGCATGAATTATTTAATAATTCCCCTATTGATGGATTTTTAGATTATGTCCAGTTTTCTCGTTAGGTGCATTGCTGCTTCTTTGTATACTTGGGCAAATATTTCTGTAGAACAGATATCTAGAAATGGAATGGTTGGTGTGAAGACTATGTAGGTATTAAATTTTAATTGTCCTCAAAAACATTGTGCCAACTTATACTATACTCAACAGAGTATGACAGCATTTTACCACTGAGTATTCTCCAACTCTTTGCTGATATAATGGGTGAACAAAAGGCGTCCTGTCTGAATTTGAATTTTTCTGATTACTCTTGAATTTAAATACCTTTATATGTTAAAAGTTGTTGAACACTTGTGTTTCTTCTGAGTTTTATGTCCTTTATCTATTTTCCTTTTGAATTGTTTCTATCATTTTCTTATTAATCTATTAAAGGAGTCAATTTAGATACATAAGTTATTCTGGAAAAGTACAGTAGTTTGTGTGTCATCAGTTCAACTTGTATAAGTGATTTCTGAATTTTCATTTTTGAAAACAGAGATGTCATTTTCTTTTCCATTGAAGTTTGGCCTCTTGTAATATGATTCCATTTAAATAAAGTTCAGGAAGAGGCAAAATTAAAGTTCGTTGTGTATGGCTAACAAATAATAGGTAAAACTATATTTTGAAAACAAGGAAATTACCATAAAAGTTATGATAGTGGTTATCTGCAGGGGTCAGAGAGAGGATTGTGGTTGGAAAGGGCCACACGAGCTTCTGGACACTCATGGTACTCTTTCTTGACGTGATGATACTACATGGGTACCTGCTTTACAATTATTAAACTGAACATTTAAGTTATATGCATCTTATGCACATTGTATTTCTGAAAGAAAAAAAAATTTTTTAAATGGGAGAAAAAGCCTACTGGCTTCACTTGTAGCCTTGACATAAGTCCATGTGGGGCTTTAACAATAACATTTGGGGGGGGGGGCACTTGTGGCTCAAAAGAGTAGGGCACCGGCCCCATATGCCGAGGGTGGCGGATTCAAACCCAGCCCCGGCCAAAAAAAAAAAAAAAAAAAAAAACTGCAAAAAACATAAAAATAAAAATAACATTTGGGGCTTGGTGCCTGTAGCTCAAGTAGCTAAGGCACCAGCCACATACACCAGAGCTGGGGGGTTCAAATCCAGCCCGGGCCTGCCAAACAACAATGACAACTACATCCAAAAAATAGCTAGGTGTTGTGGCGGGCGCCTGTAATCCCAGCTACTTGGGAGGCTGACAAGACAATCGCTTAAGCCCAGGAGTTGGAGGTTGCTATGAGCTGTGATGCCACAGCACTCTACCTAGGGCGACTGCTTGAGGCTGTCTCAAAAAAAAAAAAAAAATGAGGGGAAAGAAATGAGGAAATGGCAGTTCTGCTCATCTTGGTTAGAACCAGAGTTGGGTTCTAACAGGGATTTGTGATCTAGAAAGTAGGCATTAAATATACAATTTGGTGGGAAGAATGGGTAGGGGTATGTGTGTGTAGAGATATGGACACAAAAAGGAAAATGTGAAAAAAGGTTTGAATGAAAACAAAGCAGACGTTGCCATCTTGAAATTAAATAAGAATTAGAGTATTCACTTGGCACCATTACCTAGGTTTCCTCCACAGATAGGAGTTAGTCCTGTGTGGCAAATAGTTTGCATTTTTATTTGGAAGTAACCTTTTCCTTTACACTGTTGGTGGGACTGCAAACTAATTCTACCTCTTTAGAAAGAAGTATGGAGAATCCTCAAAGAACTCAAATTAGATCTCCCATTTGGTTCCTCAATCCCCCTATTAGGCATCTATCCAGAGGGGGGAAAAATCCTATCATAAAGACATCTGTACTAGGTTGTTTATCACAGCTCAATTTACAATTGGCAAAATGTGGAAACAACCTAAATGCCACCAACCCAGGAATGGATATACCAAACTGTAGTATATGTATACCATGGAATACTATTCAGCTATTTAAAAAGATGGGGACTTTACATCTTTTGTATTAATCTGGATGGAGTTGAAACACATTCTTCTTAGTAAAGTATCACAAGAATGGAGAAGCAAGAATCCAATGTACTCAATACTAACAGGAGGCCAGTAGATGACCTAATACCTTCCACAAAAAAGAGAAACTGAAATCAATTCAAGGTCTGGGATGGGAGCATGAGGGAGCAGGGAGAACGAGGGAGAAGGAGGAGGATGGAGGTGCTCCCACTTAATGGGCACAATGTTCGAGTGTATGGCACACCTCTTGGGGGCAGCACACAATTAATAAGAGGAACTCTACCTAACTAATGCAAACATTGTAACCTATTTCTTTGTACCCTCAAATTAACCTGAAACACTAATAAAATTTAAAAAAAAGAAATAACAAATAACCTTATCCTTTTTCAGAATTCTCAGTGAAAATCATTTGACCGAATTACATAAAGATTCATTTGAAGGCCTGCTATCCCTCCAGTATTTGTAAGTTAGTTAGTTAATCACATTTATTTATGAGCTTTTAGGGATATTATCTGTAAGATGAATAAGGGGTTCAAATTAGACAATCTCTAAAACTTCTTTCAGCAATGAAATTCTGCAGTTCTCTAAATCCATGTAGAGTTTTAGCCCACCTTTAACCCATCTCTGTGCATTTTTAGTTTTCAAAATCATATAGATAAGATACAGATAAAATCATATAGATAAGATACAGATAGAAAAAAAACTTCACTTATAAGGAAAAAGTGGTAATAACATCTGAGCAATTATTGACACCCATGTGAACCTTGTTTTATAAGTTTTATATATCATCTGCTTATATTTATATTTAGTCTACAGCCCATAGATCAAATCTAATCCATAGTCTGTTTTTATTTACAGCCTGTAAGTTAAGAATGGTTTTTGCATTTTTAAAGGGTCTGTAAAAGAAAAACAAGAATATGCAACAAAGACCATATGTGACCTACAGCGCCTAAAATATTACTATTTAGCCTTCAGAAAAAGGATTTGAAAACTTGGTTTAGTAGAATGAGAAGAATTAAAGTTAACCTTAAGTTGTTGCTTAAAGGAAAGGAAAATATAGACCATCTACACTAGTTTGAATGCCATTAATCCAGAATTTTTTGATAATTTAATCTTAATTAAATTAACATTTAACTATTAAATAAGCAGATGAATTATAAAGAATAATAAATATATTTAAGAAGGCAGAGCCCTCTAGATGTTCCTAGAGCAATGCTGTTAGTGGGTAGGGCACCAGCCCCATATACCGAGGGTGGCGGGTTCAAACCCAGTCCCAGCCAAACTGCAACAAAAAAATAGCTGGGCATTGTGGCAGGCGCCTGTAGTCCCAGCTGCTTGGGAGGCAGAGGCAGGAGAATGGTCTAAGCCCAAGTAGTTGGAGGTTGCTGTGAGCTGTGACGCCACAGCACTCTACCAAGGGTTAATAAGTGAAACTCTGTCTCAAAAAGAAAAACAAATTTAAGAATATAAAATATTAGATATTTAATATTAGAGAATATTGAATATATTTAAGAGAATCGGCTGGCAGTAAGGATTTCATTGCAGAAATTATTATACTCTTTTTTTTTTTTTGGAGACAGAGCCTCAAGCTGTCCCCCTGGGTAGAGTGCCGTGGCATTACAGCTCACAGAACCTCCAACTCCTGGGCTCTAGCGAGTCTCCTGCCTCCGCCTCCCAAGTAGCTGGGACCACAGGCGCCCGCCACAACGCCTGGCTATTTTTTGGTTGCAGCCGTCATTGTTGTTTGGCGGGCCAGGGCTGGGGATTCGAACCCGCCACCTTAGGTGTACGTGGCTGGCGCCTTAGCCGGTTGAGCTATAGGCGCCAAGCCAGAAATTATTATACTTTTATTAAAAATAGTTGTTTAAGGATGGATGCAGTGGCTCACACATGTAATCCTAGCACTCTGGGAGGCCAGGGTGGGAGGATCCCTTGAGCTCATGTGTTTGAGTGCAGCCTAATTGAGAGTGAGACTCTGTCTGTACTAAAAAATAGAAAAATAATCTAAACATTATGGTGGGTGCCTACAGTCCCAGCTACTTGGGAGGCTAAGGTAAGAGGATAGCTTAGAGCTCAGGAGTTTGAGGTTGCTGTGAGCTAGGCTGACACCATGGCACTCTGGCCTGAGGCAACAGAATGAAGCTCTGCCTCAAAAAGAAAAAAAGTTTAAATTATGGTTAAATGGTATAGCTAGAAATGTTTACCCTACCAATGCTCCCAATTCTTCCCAAATTACAAAATGAAAATTCCTCCTGCCTTATTGCCAAGGAGAGAATACTTTTATTTCTATCTTTTTAGAGATAAGAAGATACTATATCCCTTGCTATGAAAGTCTGAGTTTTATCCTTTGCCCATGGGGTCCAGAAAAGTGTACATCATTAATTCTTATTAAGCTAACTAATGTTGCTCTTTAGCAAATAGATTCTTCTTTCAAATGCAGAAGCTTAAGGCAAGTAGGTACAAAGAGTCTCACATGACACTAAAAATAGTCCTTTGAATTATCAAAACTTCTAGGCCTTAAGGCACGACCACTTTTGTATTGGTCTTCTTAGGCACCTCTGCCACATTTGGGGGAAAAAAGTAAATGACATAATTGCTCAATGGAGTAGGCCCTTCATTACTTCCACAATGAAATATGCATACTTTGTAAGTTAATCATTTCATATTAGGATCTATAGTCTCATTCATTTAAGAAAATGCCAACCAATTAAAAAAACAAAAAAAATATGCCAACCACTTTGCCTAATATTAGAGTTGAAGAGATGCATAAGACAGGGTTCCTACCGTCCCTACCCTTCTAAGAACTTAACATCTCACAGGGGAAACAAACAGGTAAGCGTAAACCATAGTGCAACAAGCACTAAGAGGATGACAAAGGGAGGGCTGCAGAGGTCCAGAAGAGGGACACAAAGTAACAAAATTACATTTCTTTTAAAATAGTTTTTTTTCTTCTACTCCTTCTCAGCTCTTCACTCATTTCATAAATACAGTAGAATCTCCATGGTTGACCACATCCATAATTTTACCTAATTTTCATAGACTGGACATGTGCCACATGTGCTCAATGGAAGTCCCTTATGCTGACTACCACTGTAGTTGACTGGTTTGTTATAGTCCAGTGAGCGATCAGCTTAGAGAGGTTCTACTATATTCTCATGTGTCAGTTTTGGGCCATGCAGATGAGCAAGACCTAGTCCATACTTTCAAGGAGTTTATACTTAAAAGAAACGGGAGCAAAAATAACTACATTGAAAAGAAGAAATAGCTATGGGCACTAAGAGGGACCAACTGCTTCTGGAGCACAGAAGAAGGAGAAAAGACTTGAGTTTGGATCAGAGAAGATGTTCCCAGAGCAATGCTGTTAGAATAGGATCTATCAGAAGGCCATCAGTTATCCTTAGACAGATTTGGGGGGAAATAGTCTATACTTGGAAAAGGAAAATGGGAGAAAGGCAAAATACAGTGAATTATTTGAGGAATGCTATGCGTACCTGTAGCATGCAAAAAAGAGCAGGAGACCGGAGCCAGACTTTCTAGGGCTTTGAATGCCAAGCAAACGCTATTACAGGGAACCATGCTTTATGCCTATCTTAAGTCTGCACCACAAGCACTTGGGGGTCTTGTTAGGCTTTGGTTCTGGACTACAACTCCACAGCTACTCATTCCGTCAGTTTAGAGTAGGGCCAAGGATTTTCATCTTTCATAAATTCCCAAATGTTGGTCTTTGAGAACCACTTCTGGAGAGTTCATCTGGTTAACTGTGTGCAGGATAGTTTAGAACAGTGGTTCTAAACCTTCCTAGTGCTTTAGGCCTTTAATACAGTTCCTGTGGTTCGCAGCCCACAGGTTAAGAACCACTGGTTTAGAAAGAAGAGATACCAGTCAGAATAGAGTGACAACAGCCAGGTGAAAAGCGAGGGATAAACTGGAGTCAACAGAAATAGTCAACTATAGTTAAGAAGGGGTGTTTTCAAATAAAAATCCAGTTCTGTGCTGCTTTTTGGTACATCCCATCACTGTACCACTGAAGAAATTGCTTTTATGGAATATTAAGGCAATATAAAATCAAAATGAATTTTTATTAATATGGTATAATTCTGAATTAGTTCAAAGTTATATATTAATTAGAAGAGTAACTTCCTTTCAAAAGATGTGAAAGGATATCTTTTATCTCTTTTGGTATTGAACTAGCTTAGAAAAACAGAATTAAACCAGAAAGGTATAATTGTGAGATTATTCCTTTTCATATTAGAAATTATATAGATAGAGAAAAACTTTAAGCTTCTAATCTAGAATTTGATGAGGCTACAAAAGGTTGTTTAATCAAGTCTCCTGCTCTAGGGAAAGATTACATCCAAAATCTATTCAGATCTATAGTTGATTTATGAAAAATCATGAAGGTACAGGAGGATTAGGGGGCTATGGAAAGTTCAAATACAGGTCTGAAAGTTTGTAGACAAAAACTACATATTCATTATGATCATTCTAAACTCTACTATTTGTTCCTATTAATTTGGAATCTAATCAAGGCAATGTCTTCCTTTTACTTTTTCTAGAGATTTATCCTGCAATAAAATCCAATCTATTGAAAGACGTACCTTTGAATCACTACCATTTTTGCAGTTTGTGTAAGTTACAAATATAACTTATTTAACACTTAGAATTTTTATTAAACTTATAAACCCTCTGCTATTCATTTTGAAATATGATTAAAATTTTACTAGTAGAAAGTTACTACAATTATATAGCAAATCCATTTCATCCCTAGGAAAGATTAGTGCGAGAATTATTACACAGATCAGAGTGGATCATAATAGAACAATGGTTCTCAACTAGTGTGATTTTGTGCCCAGATGACATGTGGCAATGCCTGGATACCTTTTCAGTTGTCACAACTGTGGATATGTTACTGACACCTGGTGGGCAGAAGCCAGGAGTGTTGTTAACCTACACTGTACAGGACAAACCCCCCAGACAAAGAATTATACAGCTTAAAACAGCTGATATGTCAATAGCACTGAAGTTGCGAAACTCTGTCCTAGAGAAATAAAGATCTCTTTAACACAAGTATTTGTTGAGCATATGCTGTTTTGTCTCTACACATTGCATGTATAATAAATATGAAAGTATAACTCATAAGCCAATATCTTCTACTTCTACAGCAAAATTTCCTTAGTGTATGGAGAAAGTACTGAGGTCATGTTTTGTCATACATAAATTAGAATCGCTGCCAAATGATAAATGCTTTGAAAGAATATCTTTCTTCTTCTTCATCAGCTTGTGCCTTTCCTTTTTCTTGTTTTTTTGTAGAAATCTTGGTTGCAATTTACTCACAGAACTGAGCTTCGGAACGTTTCAGGCGTGGCATGGAATGCAATTTTTACACAAGGTGTAAGTTAAATAGATGAACACATGTAAAAATCTATGTGTAAAAGCATCATACAGTTATCAGTTAACTAGGTATAAGCTCATTATGAACTCTGAAGAGTTTTTCTTAAGATCTATCCAATTTTTCTTTTTTAAATTTTTTTTTTAAAAGTATATTTACATTTCACGGAAAGAATCCATCCATTTTTTTTCAGGCGAGGAAACTAAGGTACAAAGAGGCCAGGAGACTTGTGTAACTTACATATGACATGCTCTACTTTCCCTAGAACTGATTCTTGGTATGGGCAGTAAAAGATGTCAAGTAATGCTCAAATCAACATTGTCTTGGGAGCCTTAACAATACTGCTTTGATATGTGAATTGTCCTTGAAACCCTACTTTTGGATTTAACTTTGATTCCTGTTCATGTACGGAGTTTCTAACTGCTGAAATGTTTACAGCATATAGCCATAAAGAAGGAAGCATAACCAAGTCCTCCAGGGTGCAAAAGGTGAAGGTTGTTTTTTTCAGAGTCAGTTTCTTTTCAATGATAAAGCAGAAGAATTCCAGAAAATCTGCCATAGGGCACGTCTCTCCTTGTCACCCAAAATATTTTTTTTTTTAAAAAAATATTTACCTATGAAGAATGATCTGTGGGCATCTTTGCACTGTGGGGAAAAATGGTTTTTATGTTAAGCTATAGTGCAAACAATGTTCAGAAAGAAAATACATTGCTTTAGCCTAATTCCATACACTTGCTTTCTGACTACCCTTCAACAAGCTATGTAGAGAGGCCAGGCGCAGTAGCTCACACCTCTAGTCCTAGCACTCTGGGAGGCCACGGCAGGTGGATTGCTTGAGCTCAGGAGTCCAAGACCAGCTTGAGCAAGAACAAGACCCTGTCTCTAAAAAGGAAAAGAATAGCCAGGCATTGTGGCAGACATCTGTAGTCCCAGCTACCTGGGAGGCTGAGGAAAGAGGATCTCTTGAGCCCAAGTATTTCAGGTTGCTGAGCTGTGATGCTATGGCACGCTACCAAGGGCAACAAAGCAAGACTGTGTCTCAAAAAAAAAAAAGCAATGTGGCTTTTCAGCTCAAAATTCAATAATTTCTCTGTGACACAAGCAGATCGTGGTAGGTATATATGATCTATGGCCTGAAGGAGATTTTAGACTTAAGGTGAAGATCCTCTTCTAAACTTGACTTTGGAAAAGACTGTCCACCTGTCCTGAGGTTTGGAAGTCTAATTTCACACCATTCATTTTGGGTTAGAGGGAGGGGTTAAGGATGTGTCTGGAACTGATGAACAGTTTCTACAGAGGCTGATCTTACAGGGCCCTCCTCTCTTCCCTTGTTAATTAACTGATGCCTTGGGTAGGGGAAGAACACCAAGGGTCTGTTTTTCTTTTGCCCTCACACCAAAGAACCAGATTCCTTAGATCCCTCCACCAAGAGATTTAGATGGCATCAGTACAAATATCTTGAACTTACCACTGTCACTGAACATTGTCAACAGAAGAGAAGGCAAACTCTGTAAAATAATTTGAAGAGGTCTCTTCTAAGAACTGAATTTGAGGACTTTGGCCTAGAACCATGCCCAAGAAACCTTGAGCAAGTGGACTCACTGTAGCTGGGTTAGTCTGGTTTTATTCAATTCAGGGAGACAGGAATTGCATGCAAAGTCATAAATCAGTACATGGAAGGCATAAGTTGGTTTGGCCTAAAAAGGTGGGACATCTTAAAAATGGAGGTTTACAGGTTATAGGTGGGTTTTAAGACTCTTGTAGCTGGTTAAAGAAATGAAGCTTTGTCTAAAGGCTTGGGATACTTTAAGTTAAGGACATCTGTTAATTAGAGACAAAACATCTGACAAATACCCAGACTCAAGTGAATTATTAAGTAAGCTGAGGACCTGCAGGTTTGTCTTCTATAGCCTCAGGCCTGTTAATAGGTTACAAAAGATGTCTCCCAGAAGGGAGGGGGCGTGATGAGGCATTTCTGACTTCCCTTCTCAGGGCTAGCAACTCAGCCCTTTGCCCAGAGGAGGTCCGTTTAGTCAGCTGGAGGGGGGAGCCTTAAGATTTTATTTTAATTTATTGTAGTTTATTGTTTTGAGACAGAGTCTTACTTTGTTGCTCCCTGATAGAGTGCCATGGTGTCATCTCATCTCTGCTTACACCTTTCACTGGCAACGGATGTGACAAAATAAGAGATTGGTCATCGATGCTGCCTCTGGCGGATCTTGGCCAAAGGGGGGGAATTGTGAACTAAAATAAAATCTTAAGCCACCATGCCGGGTTTAAGTATTTTATTTTGGTTCACAATTCCTCCCTTTTGGCCAAGATCTGCTGCCTGGCTTAAGATTTTATTTTAGTTCACAATTCCTCTGTTTGGCCAAGATCTGCTGCCCAGCTTAAGATTTTATTTTGGTTCACAATTCCTTCCTTTTGGCCAAGATCCACCAGAGGCAGCATTGATGGCCAAACTCTTATTTTGTCCCATCCTGAGACCAAGACTGGATGTTCAGGCCAGGTTTTTTGGAAGGGGAGGGTGACTCACCTGGGCAGTACAAAGGTGGTGTCTGCGCCCAGGGGCAGTTAGAGACCTCTTTTATATAGGGCTGTAGGGTAGGGGGTGGGCAAATTCTACAGCTTGCCCAGAATGTTAGGGTCCTTTGGTGTGAATTTCTGAGGGGGTGGTGGGTAACTAGACCCTTTCTGTCTTTGTCTTAGGAGGAGAGGAGAAGGAGGAGGGGGAAGGGTTTGTATATGGTTATATTAGGCTCCAACAGCTAGGGTGGTATGGCCCCTGCCCTGGTTCCATCTAGGCCCTTGGTGGGACCCTCGTGGCCAAGAGAACTGAAGAGCCAAAAGGACCTACATCCATGAAGTGTTTTAGGCCATATGGGACTGGAGGTGGACAGGTATTCATCAAGGCTTTTAAACCTTCTAGGCAACATGAAGGTGAAAATCAAAATGTTAAAGGCAAGGCTACAAAATTCATTTATCTGTGTCATGCTACTGTATTTTGGGGTTTAGTTGCAGGCTTGTAACAAAAAGGTCAAAGAATTTAGAGACTTAATCATTTAAGCTAAGGAATTTAGAGACTTTTGTTGTGTCACCTTATTTTAGTCTCTTTAGTGATTTGTCCTAAGGTAGCTAATAAATTTCCTGTTACATCTCTTTTTGTATAAACCCCATCCTGAGAACAATTATGCTCATGATGGATGTTTGGACCACATGGCCCAAAAAGGCAAAGTTTCTCATTTAGTATTTGTTTAGGCTTCTGTGTGCCCATCCTTGATCTGGAGGATCTAAACTAATTTATCTCTCTTTTATACATATATAATTTCTACATCTATTAATATTCTTTTTGATATGACATTGCTTTCATATTTTAATATTTTAATCTATAGAACTAAATGTTTTCCCTATCTCTTCGAAGGTATTTCAAATAGTTGAATTAAATTCTTGTCTAGTAAGCCCAACATCTTGACTTCCTCAATGATAGTATCTACTGATTTCCAACCCCCAACATCCACCCCTGTGCATGGGCCATAATTTGTTTCTTTGTGCTCCTTATAAATTTTTGTTGAAAATTAGATATTTTTAAATAATACTACGTATAATGTAACAATTCTAGAAATCAAATACCTGCCCCCAGGGTTTGGTGTGTAGTGCTGCTTATTATAGTAGTTATTATTAATTTATTTAGTGACTTTTTGGAACTAATTTGGTAAAGGCTTGTATTCGTTGTCATGTGTGGCCACTAAAATCTACTAGGTTAGCTTAGTGGTCAGCTGATGAATGAACAGAGATTTCCTTAAATGCCTAGAACCAAATCTCCGAGATTTTCCCAGGGGCTTGTGTGCGTGTTAGGGTGTACCTCCAGCACTCCGCAAGATGGTTTTATAGCTCTGCCTTAGCTTTCATTTCCTGCTTGTGCAGAACCTCAGAATCAGCCATGGATGAGAGGTTAGGGACTTCTCTGGTCTTGGACAATGCTCACAGCCCTAATATATACATGACCTTCCAGATTTCAAGGAATATGACTCATGGTTTTCCAGTTTCCCAAGGAAATATTGGAGTATTTCAGAGTTCCTATGGGCATCTCATTCCTCGGCCTTTTCTATTAAGCTTTTTAATTAAGCTTTTTTGTTTGCCAACTTTTACCCATTGCTTCACGTAGCTGCCATGTTAAGACACTTTTCCTATAATTGTCTTCCACAAACAGCCTCTTAGGTCAAAAAAAAGCAAACCTTTCCAGGAAGGTCTTCCATGTAACAAACAGGTCAAATAATGACAGTTAATTGGGAATGTGGCTTTGAAGGAGCTCTGGCTCCGTTCTGCTCCTTCTGGTACTAGAGATGTAGGCTATTTTTAAGGCTACTACTGAGCTGGGGAGCAAAAGATGGTCTAGGGGAAGCTAAAACAACACAAATCTCATTGTTCTTACTGAAATTTAGCCATTTTTCCTGAATAAACACTCTTTGGGTTGCTGCAAGACTTTGGTTAAATTTCTAGAGTTCTGAAAATGTTGATTCTTGACATTTCAGCCATATTTTTGTTGTTGTTTTTATGAAGGGATGAATTTTCAGATGTCTTTACTCCACCATTTTCACTGCTGTCACCTACCACATGGTTTTGTTTTGTTTTTTTGGGAGAGAGTTTCACTTTGTCATCCTCAGTAGAGTGCCCTGGTGTCATTGCTCACAGCAACCTCAAACTCTTGGGCTCAAGCGATTCTCTTGTATCAGACTAGAGTACTTGCCTCCTGAGTAGCTGGGACTACAGGTGCCTGCCACAACACCCAGCTCTTTTTTTTTTTTTTAGAGGTGGGGTCTCACTCTGGCTCAGGCTGGTCTGAACCGTGAACTCAGGCAATCCACCCTCCTTGGCCTCCCATAGTGCTAGGATTACAGGTGTGGGTGACCATGCCCAGCCTACAACATGGTTTTAAATCTCTAAAGGCTCTGTGGCCATGGGCTAATTAAATATTTAATCACAGGAAGTGATTAGGAAAAAGGAGTAAAAAGAGAAATGTAATTCTCAAGAGGTTCTCCCAGATGGATAGATGAAGTTTAGAAAGGCATCTTATATTTAGTTCTCACAGAATTAAGGTTAAAGTAACAGCTATTTTAAACTGTTTTTCTTCAGAGAAGATAAATACGGGCTTTGCAGTCAGAACTAACTTCGAATTTCAGCTTTGCTTCTTAACTAGCTTGGTGGTCTCGGACAAGTTAGATAAACTCTCTGTGCCTCAGTTTCCTCATTTATAAAAGACAGAATAATATTTACCATGGAAGCTTATTGTGAGGACTAAATGTGAAATGCTGATCACAAAGGACTGGCAGCCCAATGGATATTAACTATAATAATTGTTATTTTTATAATGTTCTGCAGAAGCACACTAATAATTGTTGAGTAGAGTTAACCTAAAAGCAGGTTTTCCTCTCTTCCTTCCTATTTCTCTCTTTTGTTCTGTTTGTCTGCTTTAAAGAATGGAAAAGAAAATCTGTTCCAGCATTTTGGAATACAAATTTGCATCAAAAATTAATTTATTCATTTTACTGATGTTTAAATAAAATGCTATTTTTCAAGAAACATTGATTAAATAGCTAGTAAATTTCAGGCACCATGCCAGGCATAGGTATGACAATGTTAATACGTTGTGGTCCCTGCTCTCAAGGGGCTGACAGTCCAGGAGACTGATGAGTACACAGGGGATTACAAGCACAGTAACGAAGGCTGTGATGTGATACAAAAATATCAGTGCAGAGAATTCCCTTGTGTTAGATTTATCCCTTTTTCTTTAGCTCTAAAGCCAAGGATTTGGTCCATTTTTTTCTTAATCAGATAAATTAAACCAGGGATTTAAAACATTTTTCTAAAGATGAAAGACGAACACCTCAAATTATGGAGGGTAACTGGCATAAGAAACCTGGGTAGTTCCCAAAGGAAAAGTGCTTGGCAGAGTCTTAGGGTGACTTAAGGGAAAAACAGAAAATGTTTTTATTTTTTTACCTACAAGTTCCATACTAAAAAATGAATATAAACTTTTTGTGGAGTTACATTGAAATGCAGGTAATTTTCATTCCATTGCACTTTTCAGAATTCTCAATCGTAATCCTCTGACAACTGTTGAAGATTCATATCTTTATAAATTGCCAGCATTAAAATATCTGTAAGTATTACGCTCATCTCATGAATCATGAGATTGTTTCTGCTGTTTTTTTTTTATTTTCATCAAAGATTAAATAGGTTGAATTTAGGCTAAAAAGTCATAATCTACATTTTAACTGGTTATTTAAAAAAAGGTTATTGGCAAAGAAAAGAGATTAAGAAAGGATGTATGATGGGCAAGACAGCCAGCAGGGAAAGAGAACAGTAGCATTGAGGAATGTATATAGATATAATATATATAGGTGCATGTAGGAATATCATTTATCCCAGAAAGCAAAAAGAATAGGTATTCATATTTTAAAAATAAAAAATAAAGTAATCGAGGGAGGTGAATCCAATAAGAAAATGGGAAGATAAAGGTTAAAAAGTGTATAAATTCTATTATTCAATGTCATTAATTTGATGCTGAAATAAACATAATTACATTTCTTTAGTAAGAGTTCTATAATCATCTATGGCAAATAAACTCTTGAGCTGGCTTGTTTTATATAGAAGCCAAAATTGCAGTAATCACATGTCCTAGAAATATCTTTTTAAGTACAGAATTTTTCTATTGGGTTAATATCTCGACTGTTTGGACTTTCTCCTTCAGAGACATGGGAACAACACAAGCCCCACTTACAACAGTCGAGAACATCCTCATGACAACTCTTGAGTTGGAAAAACTGTAAGTTATTTCTTTTCTTAGACTTATTTTCACTTAGTACTTTTTTTAGGTTTGTATTTTCTTAAGTCAGTTTTTGTAAGGTATAATTTTTATGCAGTAAAATTCACTCTTTTTAGGTGCACCAATCAATGAATTTCGACAAACGTATAATTATATAACCACCATCACATTCCCAAAATAGAATGTTTCTGGCGCCCTAAAAAGGCCTCTCACGTTCCTCTGCAGTCGGTCCCCTCCTCCCACCACCAGCCCCTGCCAACCACAATCTGATTTACGTCCTTATAGTTTTGCCTTTCCCCGGTTATCTTACAAAGGAAATCATATATAGTATGTAACCTTTTGTGTTAAGCTTCTTTCACTTAGCATAATTTTTCTGAGATTATATTACTATCCATGTTGTATCTGTCAGTACGCTTAGTCCTCTCCTCATTCACAGCTTCAACCAAACACAGATGGTAAATATTTGGAAAAAACAAACTATAAAAAATAATATGTGTAGGGTGGCACCTATGGCTCAAAGGAGTAGGGCGCCAGCCCCATATGCCGGAGGTGGTTCAAACCCAGCCCCTGCCAAAAACTGCAAAAAAAAAAAAAGAGAGAGAGAGAGAGAGACTGGCTTGCATGTAAGAGTCAGGCTCCCATGTTAAAAATAATAATAGTAATATGTATTAAAATACAATATAACAACAATGTATTTAGCATTTACACTGTATTACATAGTATTCTAAGAGTAGTCTAGAGATGATTTCAAGTACAATGAAGATGCAAATATTATAGCATTCACAGATTTTGGTATCTGCAGAGTCCTGGAACCAGTTCCCCACAGATACCAAGGGACAACTGGTCATTCCTTTTTATTGCTGAGTAGTATTCCAGTTGTATGGATATATCAGCTTATCTCTTCACCAGCTTATGAACACTTGGGTTGTTTCCAATTTTTGGCAATTATGAAAACTGCTGAGAACACTCACACTCATGTCTTTGTGTGAACATATGTTTTCATTTCTTTCAGGTAAGTACCTAAGGGTGGGACTACTACATCACATCCTAAGTGCATACTTAACCTTTTAAGAAACTGCTAACCTCTTTCCTATAGGGGCTGTACCATTTTGCATTCCCACCACCAATGTGAAAGTTGCAGTTGCTACAGATCTTCCGCAGATCCTTCTATTTCAGTTTTCTTAAAAAATTATAGCCTGGCCTGTGCCTGGCCTGTCTTTTCATTATATTAAAAGTATTTTAGCCTGGTAGATGTGTAGTGGAATCTCCTTGTGGTTTTAATTTGCATATTTTTAATAGTTGATGCTGTTGAATATCTATCTATTCATGTGTAAATATCTTCTGTATTATCTGTTCAAATCTGATCCTGTATTTTAACTGAAATTTATCTTCTTGTTTAGTTTTAAGAGTACTTTTTATAGTCCAGATAAAAGTCTTTCAGATATGTGTTCAGTAACTATCTTTTCTCTTTTCTCTCCATGGTTTGTCTTTTCATTCTTTTATTTTTTATTTTTTATTTTTTTGCAGTTTTTGTCTGGGGCTGGGTTGGAACCCACCACCTCCAGCATATGGGGCCAGCATCCTACTCCTTGAGCCACAGGCACCACCCATGACGCCAATAAATAAATATTTTATTTATTTATTTATTTTATTTATTTATTTTTTTAGACAGAGTCTCACACTGTCACCCTGGGTTGATTGCCATGGTGTTATAGTTCACTGCAACCTCAAACTCCTGGGCTCAACTCATCCTCTTGCCTCAGTCTCCCAAGTAGCTGTGCACCCACCACTACACCCAGCTAGTTTTTCCACTTTTAGTAAAGACAGGTCTTGTTCTTGCCCAAGCTGGTCTTGAACTCCTGAGCTCAAGCAATCCACTCACCTTGTCCTCCCAGAATGCTAGGATTACAGGTGTGAGCCACCGTGCCTGGCCTGTCTTTTCATTATATTAAAAGTATTTTAGCCCAGGAGTTTGAGGTTCTAGCAAGTTGTAAAGATGCCACCACACTGTAGCCTGGGCAATAGAGTGAGACCCTGTTTCAAAAAAAAAAAAAAAGGAAAGAAAACTTGATTAGTTTCCAAATATTTGGAGATTTTTCAGATCTTTCTGTTGTTTTCTAATTTAATTCCATTATGATCAGAGAACACATATTGAATGACTTGAATGCTTTTGAATTTATTAAAATTTGTTTTATGGCCCAGAATATTGTTGCATAGCTCACTGATGCTCTGTTCATGTTTTATTTTGTTTCTCCTTGTGTTTCATTTTGGGAAGTTTTAAGTTTTTGAAGTAATTATTTTAATGTCCTTGCCTGCTCATGCTATCCATGTAGGTTCTGAGTTGGTTCTGATTGATTGCTTTGTTTCTTTAATATGGGTCAAATTCTCTTGCTTCTTTTCATGCTTGATAATTTTCTATTGGATCTTGGTAATTTTCTATTGGATATTGGATCTTGCTTCATGAATCATGAGGTTTTCCTTTCTAGCTTATGCTGACAGGCAGTATTCCTAATCTTGAGCAACATCTAATTATTTCCCCTCTAATCCTTTTGTGTGGTTATTTTCCTAGCCTCAAGTACTTTCCTCATACACGTGCACCAATCACTACTTTGCTGAACACTCAAGAGATCGCTCTGTGTATCTCCAGAGTTCATGCTCTGTGTGCCTCTTTTCTCTAGTACTCTGTTATGTGAATTCTAGCCACATTGGTTTTCCCAGACTTTCAGCTCCATTTTCTTAATCAAAGAGTCCACCCGTTTCCTCTCCTAGCACCATGACCTGGAAACTCAAAGAAATAAACTAGGGCAGCCACAGGACTCACTTCATTTATTTCACATCTTACAGAGATCACTGTCCTTCATTGCCTGATTCCAGTGTCTTAAAAACTGTTGTTTCTTATCTTTTGTCTGGTATTTTTGGTTGCTTCTGGCCAGAGGTACAATGTCCCTGTTATTCTGTCTTGGCCAGAATCTACTAATATTCTTTAAATCTGTTTTGTTTTGATCCAGGATCCAATCAAAGATCAGGCATTACATGTCATGTCTCTGTTTCCTTTAGTCTAAAATATTTGTCTACTTTTTCTTGTTTTTTCATGCATTGAAGAGTCTAACAGGGTTGTTTTTATAAATTCTCCCACAATCCGGATTTGTCTATTTCCTCATGATTAGATTCAGGTAAAACATTTTTAAGCACAATACTATTAATAAATAGACAATGTGTCCTTCCTGTCTCATGACTTCAGGTGGCCCATAGTGCTAAGTTTGATTGCTTGATAACAAAGTGATATCTTCTAGAGCTCTCCATTGTAAAGTCATTTTTTTCATTGGTAATTAATGTGTGTAAATACATTTGATCTTAGACAAAAGTCTAAGAAGAAACAATAATAAGTATAAATAATCTCTGGGGTGATGCTTTGAGATCAGTGAAGATCCTGCTTTCAAAACATCTTTTTACCCAACTGTGCATCAGTGATAATCCTTATCCAAATCAATTATTATTGTGTTTGCAAAATGATACTTTTCTAATTATATCATTCCTTCTACATTTATTAGCTGGCATTATTCCTTTTGAGTATCATTGTGAATTCATGGATTCTTCTTTTTTTTTTTTTGCAGTTTTTGGCCAAGGCTGGGTTTGAACCTGCCACCTCTGGCATATGGGGCCAGAGGCGCCCTACTCTTTTGAGCGACAGGCGCCGCCCCATGGATTCTTCTTTATAGTAATTATGTTGTACCTTATTATCATCATTATTCTTTTGAAGTCCACATTTGGCCAATGTAATCTTCATTATTGTTCAACCTTATTTTTTTTTTTTTGAGACAGAGTTTCATTTATTAACCCTGGGTAGAGTGCCGTGGCATCACAGCTCTCAGCAACCTCCAACTCCCTGGGCTTAGGCAATTCTCTTGCCTTAGCCTCCCAAGTAGCTGGGACTATAGGCACTGGCCACAATGCCTGACTATTTTTTTGTTGTTGCAGTTTGGTCGGGGCTGGGTTTGAACCCGCCACCCTCGGTATATGGGGCCGGCACCTTACCCACTCAGCCATAGGCGCCGCCCATTGTTCAACCTTATAATGTGGTTTCAACTAAGCTGTTATTTATGCCCAGAGTAATTTCTAATATTTGCACTCCCAACAGTAATTGAGAAAGGGACTCCAGAAGTTTGAGGCCTCCAGACTCTTCTTAGAAGTCTGCCTCCTGTGTCCTCTCAACCCAAAGTGAGACTTTTGCATTGGGAGAAGATAACTTCTGAATTAAACTACAAATCAGTGTCACCCAATTCTAATTCCTTTTGTAAAAATTTATTATTTTAAGAGATCGGGTCTTGCTATCTTGCCTAGGCTGGTCTCAAAGTCCTGGCCTCAAGCAATCCTCCCACCTTACTCTCTTGAGTGACTGTGACCACGAGTGCACACCTCAATGCCCAGCTAATTAAAAAAATTTTTTTTGTAGGGGCAGGGTCTTGCTATGTTGCCCCGGCTTGTCTCAAACCCTAGTCAAGCAATCCTCCTGCTTTAGCCTCCCCTGTAGCTGGAATTACAGGTGCAAGCTACCATGCCTGGCACCTCTAATCTCTATCATCTGTACTCTAGGCATACCATAACCACTGCTATGTTCACCCATCTCTCTGTCTCCTTTCCTTTTGGCTATCTGGTTCCTACCCAACAACTGATCAGGCCATATTCCTCAAGAATTCTTTTTGCCTAGCCCTGCGGTAGCTTCACCCTCCCTCTTCTACCAACTGAAGTAATCCCTTTACCATTAATTTAATTCTCTGTGTTTCAATTTATAGAATCTTACCTAGCCATATGGCCTGCTGCCTCTGCCAATTTAAAAATAATATTGAGGTTGTCTGCAAGACAGTGAAGCTACATTGTGATGCATGTATGGGAAACAGCACAGAAGATTGTTGTGAGTTTAAATTGCTTAATAATTTTTTTAATTTTTATTTTGTTTCTTAAATTTTTAATTGAGAATTTTTAAGCTAATGATGGAATTGCTTTATTCTTATTTATTCATTCAGAGTTAAACTCCCTGTATTTCTGAACTACTCCCTGGCTGAAAGTCAAGTTCTCAGTTATTATTACATAATTTAATAATGTAACTATTCCACATCCATAAAGGACAAAGAGGAAGGAGTAGAAGGGGGCGGTATATATAACATTAGCAGCCACACACTCTGTACTGTGTCTCTGCTTGGTGTTTTGTCCCCCACCAATAACTTGTCTATACAGCTCATCAAAGTTTGAAACTGGTTTTATAACCATTAGGTCTCACGTGCTCTTTGCCTTATAGGACAGGTGTAGATCGGGTTTGGGTTTGTTTATTTTTACAAAGAGTACATGTGATATTTGGAGCCTGAGAGTTTCCAGTTGCATAACCAGAAATTGCTACCTGGCTCTTCTAAAGAAACAGAGGACTTTTCCATTCTTAGGCTGTCCAACTCTGAACTTGCTCTAAATCTAAAGCTTTTATATCCACAGAACAAACACTCAGGTGCTTTTTAAGTATTTTTCTACATATTAGGTTTATTAGCACTAACTTCATAACTTTCAAAATGTGACTGCTTTCATCTCCAGACAACTTGAATACAGATCTCTACCTGTGATACAGATAATCAGTAATAACACTTTGCAACTTATATAAGTGCAGGGTTGCTTACTTTCCAAAACAATTTTTCACATATTATATTACATTATTCTCTTCTCCCCTGAAAGTAGACAGAACAAACATTTTTAATCTTGTTTTACAGATGAGGAAAAACAAGATCAGAGGTGTTAAGTGCTGTAGCCTATTCTCAGGCCTTTTGTCCCCAAATTTGGGTTCTCCACCACCCATGTTCCTCATTTCTCGTGATGCTTACCCACTCCTCTGATCTTTAACCACCACCACCACAGAAACTTTTAATTCTGGACAGGAACCCAGCTACACAATGGTGTACTTGCTTTTCATGCGGTTAGAAGCTTTGGATGGTTCCACAAGTGAAGCTGGGAATTACCGAAATGAAATGAAAGCAAAATGGGCATCTGACAAAAGTTGCTTTTTCCTTTCTGCATGTTAGGAAGTCAAGTAAGGTTTATCTAAAATTGCTATTATTCCTTAGATTTATTGAACACTCCACATAAGCGTGTAATCTGGAAATTAAAAACTTCTTAGCCTCCACCCCAGATCCCTGCCCAAACTGAGGAAAGAACCAGGATGAACCTAGTGTTTTTTCTATGCAGAACCTCCTATTATGGGTGCTAGGATACATGAGAGCAGGGGCCAAGAAGAGGAACTGGGTGGGGAGATGGACAAGGACATGTCCAGATAAGGACCTCTTAGCAATAGGATTGGGGCCTCCACATTAGCATCTCTTCTCTCGGTCCCCTCCGAGGACTGTCTTTCATCAGAGTCATCTACAAGCGTGCCCCCTCCACATCTGAGGCAGGACAGCCTGGGCTGCAGAAAGGCTGGTTCAGCCGGGAGTGGGGAGCACAGTTCTTCCACCTTGGGCATTTACTGAGTGCTGGGCGAGTGGGTGTTGGGGACCAGTGGAATAACCCTAAATAGAGTGACTATATGTCACATTATGGAATGTTCTGAGTAGTTAACCACTTTTCCCAAAGATGTTTTTTTCTCCTTTTGTTGTTGCCATTTCATAGGTTTAAACAGGGGTTTCTTTCTTTCCGCTCTAAGTGGCACTCACCTGTTTGCTGACTCCTAATTTCTTTGACTGGGATATATGGCTATGGATTGACAAAAAGCTATCCCATCAGCCTTCCATTATCAAAAACAGTCTCTTCTCTTTTGACAGTTGAAGAAGCAAGCGTAGGAAATGCAGAGGGACCGCTCATGAAGGTATTACAAGCCCGGAAGAAGCACACCAGCACCGAGCTGACCATTGAGCCAGAGGTATCCGCAAGTAAAACTGCTGTCGGCTTATCGGGTTTCATGAACGAACAGATGGACTTCAATGATGAAAGCGATGTTATTAGTGCACTTAATTACATATTGCCTTATTTCTCAGAGGGAAATCTAGAAGATGTAGAATCGACATTATTACCATTCATTAAACTGCTTTTCTCAAATGTGCAAGAAGGAGACAAGTCCCTGACTCATGCGAAAAACAATACAAAGGCTCAGCCTCTTGAACCTCTACCCAGCAATACCGCTTACAAAAACAAACTGAGGAAGCTCTATTTCCTGGAAAATTTGTTAGATGCAGAAATCCAAGAAAAAATCGATGAGGTTAAAAAGAAAGAAAAAACGGCCATGCTTATGGAGTCTGGCCTTTTAGGTCCCAAATTTAAACGCCAAATCTTTCCCAAAAAATTGGAAGCTGCTCAATCACAGGAAAATAGCCTGGCGGAGAGTGAGAGCGGAGACAGCATGCTGAAGAGAGTGAAGCTGTTCCTCAAAGGGCCCAAGAGCCTACGGAGAAAGCTCATACAGGAGGCAAGAATCAAGAGGAAACAGGGGACCTGGCCAGTAGCGAAGAAAGCTGCCAAAGAAAAAATGCTTGGGAAACCAATCCCAAGTGAAATGACACAGTTTGACATGGTGCAGAGGCCTAAGAAGTTTGTGGGAAGTTCCTTCCACACGGAGCCCTCATTCACGCAGACGCATAAGTCCGCTGTCTCTTCTTTCTTCAAACAGTATATCGGCATGCCTTCTCCTTCTGCCACCTCAAAATCCCTGCCTGAGGTTAAAAACAAATCCAAAGACATGAGCTACACCATTTTTGTTTTAGAAGATGCAAATGCTAGAGTTAAAAGTATGGAAGCTGGTAAACCAATCGTACATTCCAGAAAAAAATACCGCTTTCATAAACCTCATTCCCATGTAGCCCACAGAACACCTGCGGCCAAACTAAGTCAAAAGTTCAGAAAGGAAACTGTGCTCCATAGACAGATGCCTGTCCACCGGCCTCCATTCTCTGCAGTAAGGAGCCTCATAAATTCCCCTTCGCATGGGGATTTTTCATCTTCAGAAGAGCTGAATCCTCAGGAGAATCCTTTTCCAGAATTATTTGCTCCTTCAGAATCTGTTACAGACGTCACTACTGTATCCCCTCTAGGAAATGGTATTGAAGAAAACAATTTTATGGAAAACACTGCTATACCTGAAGAAACTATCTCTGAAAGTACAAATGATAAGAATGCTGCTGCTATAGATGGCGGTGGGTCTACAGTATTAATACCAACTGTTAAACAAATCAATGAAACTCTGTGGGAATACCACAACACGGGCAGTGACTTACCCAACATGGAAAAAAGCTTCACTTACCCATTGCTCGCATCCCCAGGTGATCAATTTGAAATGCAGCTAAACCAGCAGCTCCGATCCCTCATCCCCAACAACGATGTGAGAAGGCTCATTTCTCACGTTATCCGGACTTTGAAAATGGACTGCTCTGAGACCCATGTGCAACTGGCCTGTGCCAAGCTCATCTCTAGAACAGGGCTCCTGATGAAGCTTCTCAGTGAGCAGCAAGAAGTAAAAGTATCCAAGGCAGAATGGGATACGGATCAATGGAAAACTGATAACTACATCAACGAGAGCACAGAAGCCCAGACTGAACAGAAAGAGCAGGAGTCAAGTGAGGTGAGTATAACTACGGAAACACGAGACCTGGACTTTTCCATCATTTCAGGGGTGTCCAACCTGCAGCCTATGGGCCACATGACAATTTTGTGAGGACTTTTTGTTACTTAACTGTGGTGTCAGATATCATGAAAAGTATGCACAGACCCCCCCCCCTTTTTTGTTTGCTAATCAGCTGTCATTAGTATTTGTGTATTTACTCTATGGCCTAAGACAACTCTTATTCTTCCCATGTGTGGCAGAGGAAAAAAAGGTTGGACACCCTTGGTTTAGGATATTCTGTGAAAGCACCCCTGCAGCAAGGCCCAGGTAGACAAGTCCATATTTTATCTTGACCATGTAATTTTGGCCATGACAGTGAGCGCCCACTTTGCTCATTTAGAGAATAAAGCAGACATGAACTCATGATAAAGAAGATGTAGAACAAAATGCTTAATAGTAAGATTGTGTAACACATTAGATTTGGTATGTTCTTTAAGAACCTATAAGCTACTTACTTGAAGGGGTAAGTATAGTTAGATTTCATTCTTTCCACCTCTTTGGTTGTTTTTTTAATGATTCATTCTCTTTTTTAGCTCACTAAAGGAGTTCCAGGATATGGCTATAACAACAAACTCATCTTGGCAATATCTGTGACTGTAATAGTGATGATTTTGATTATAATTTTCTGTCTCATTGAGGTAAGGACAATAATTAATTCAGGTTTCCAGAATAACATCCTTCATACTAGATTCAGTACTCACGAACTGAAAATCAAAGCCACTATCCCACCTACTATGACTTGACATTCCTCTTCTGTCACTAAGACTAAGGTATGCATTGTTCTTTTACTGCAAGATACACCAAGGATTTTTTTTTTTAAGTAACCTCTCTCCCAGAAGATCTCTGTAGAACTGAAACCAATATAACAAACCACTAGATTATTCAGAGAAATTAAGTTTAAGAAAGCCAAAGTTGAAGTGCTAGGAAAATTTTTCCAACCCAAAACTGTCAATAATTTGATGTACTCACTGATCACTCTCATTCTACCACTGAGTTCTTTCCTTGTTGCTAAAATGATGAGAGATGTATTATCTCCACCCTCACGGAGGTGTCATCACCCTGGGGAGAAAGGACACAGCAAAAGATAGAAGTGTCATCTTATAGAATTCATTAGATTCAGGTAGCATCCTCCTTCTCCAGTATGCAAGGCATTGTCTAAACAGGTTTAGTTCAAGCACCTCAGCTAAACCTTGCACCGGCTACTCCAAGGTGTGTCGTATTTACAGTGGCCTGTTCCTGGAGCTTGCCTGTGTTTACCTTTTGTTCAATTTCATAATGGCCTGTTACTTTTCCCAACAGGTAGGTGCTAGCATATTAAAGAATGGTTTAATAAGCTGACAGTCATGATTTTAACCCTACCAATCCAACCTAATTTACTTTAATTTACTTTTTCTATTGTTGTGGCAGCCCTCTGTTCCTGCCAAAGCGGCCCACACCATACCCCAGTCACATCATGCCCATCCCTGCTTTCATCTGTGCCTTTACCCATCCAAAATTCTCTTACTTAACCCTGCCCCTGGAAATTCTGTGACTCTGTTAAAACTCAAGTTCATCATTCTTCCTGATGCCTTCTCTGCATACTCCAGCCTTCCTGGGCCTAGTCCCTCTGTGAGTTTTGTCACCATTTCTTGGAGGCTATGGTGAAGCATTTCCCTCCACTGAGAACTTAAAAATGTGGCAAACAATTTTCTTAAAGATGTCTATCCAAGAAAGGAACCCCAAAGTCAGCACAGAATGAAGCAGAGTAGAGCTGTTTGGACCAAGTGGCTCCCTGTCTTAATCCGATATGCAGATTAAGTGGCCCTTATCTGCATGCTCAGGATCAGAAGTGTTTCAGATATCAGATTTCTTCAAATTTTGGAATATTTGTATTATACTTACCAGCTGAGCATCCCTAATCTGAAAATCTAAAATCCAAAATGCTCCAGTGAGCATTACCATTGAGCGTCATGTTGGGACTCAAAATTTCAGATCATGGAGCATTTTGGATTTCAGGTTTTCAGATTAGGGATAATCAACCTCTGTTAATACAGGGACTTTGGCCTCCTTGGATTTGGGTATTGGGGGGGGGTGGATCCTGGAACCAGTTCTCTGCAAATGCCAAGGAAAGAGTCAAAGAACCCTTAAACAGGATAGAATTCCTGTCTTCAGACTGGGTGCAATGGCTCATGCTTATAATACTAACACTCTGGGAGGCCAAGGTGGGAGGATTGCTTGAGCTCAGGAGTTTGAGACCAGCCTGAGCAAAAACGAGACCTCGTTTCTACTAAAAGAAAAATTAGCCAGGTGTCATGGTACCTCAAGTTCCACGTACTCTAGAGCCGTGATTTTCAACATGTGTGCCATGACAGGATCTTAGGTGTGCCATGAAAAACTTTTTAAATAACGTTATTAAATTATGTTCAAAATAAGCTCAAAGCACAGTAAGTATATTCTCTTTTTACTCTTTTCTTTGATCAACATAATTTAAGTGTGTTGCCAAAGTTTAACTGTAGGTTCAAGTGTGCCGTGAAAAGGTTGAAAAACACTGCTCTAGAGGCTGAGACAAGAGGATCAGTTGAGCCCAGGAGTTTGATGTTGCAGTGAGCTACAGTGATGCCACTGTACTCTAGCCAGGGCAACAGAGTAAGACTGTCTCCAAAAAAGAATTTCTGAGGCGGCCCCTGTGGCTCAAGGAGTAGGGCGACAGCCCCAAATACCATGGGTGGTGAGTTTGAACCCAGCCCTGGCCAAAAACTGCACAAAAAAGAAAAAAAAAGAATTTCTGTCTTCAGAGAATATATTTTTTAGCCAGACATGGTGGTGCATACCTGTAGTTCCAGCTACCACTCAAGATGCTAAGGCAGGAGGCTCACTTGAGCCCAAGAATTTGAGGCTACAGGTGAGGTATGATCATACCACTAACCCAGGTGACAGAGTGAAACCCTATCTCTAATAAAAAATTATAGATAACTGGCTCAGCGCCTGTAGCTCAAGCAGCTAGGGTACCAGCCACATAAACTGGAGCTGCAGGTTTGAATCCAGCCCAGGCCTGCCAAACAATGACAAGTATAACCAAAAAATAGCTGGGTGTTGTGGCAGGCACCTGTAGTCCCAGCTACTTGGGAGGCTGAGGCAGAAGGATTGCTTAGGCCCAAGAGTCTGAGGTTGCTGTGAGCTGTGACACCATAGTACTCTACCCAGGGCAACAGCTTGAAACGCTGTCTCCAAAAAAAAAAAAAAAATTATAGATAAATAAATAGAAGTTATCTCACTGGGTTGGTAAGTCTTAAAAGGAATGAACAAAGATTGGGAGATACTGGTCATTATGATGTATAATCATGATTGTTTTTTTCCAAAACAGATTTATTCTCATAGAAAAGCAGCAGGGACAGATGTAGAATCCTCAAGCTCAAAAGGCTCAAGGAGGTAAATACTGGTCTGGCAATTTAAAATAGAATTTTAGAACTAGAGAACTTAGAACTTCATCTATTTCAATCCCTTCATTTTATAGTGAGAAAACTGCCAGAGGCAGGAAGAATACTTACTTGCCTTAGTGCTTTGCCTGACTCCCGCAAAATTAGCTCCCCAGACAAAGCTGAGTTGGAAAGAGTGGCCAGGACGAATCTGCGGTCACCAGTCCTTCAAGGGAAGGTGGGGGCGGGGGTTGTAGTTGTGCCTGTTCCTTCCAGTAGTGGGCTTCAGGCCAGGCCAGAGGCCTTTTCGGAGGCTCTGGGCGAGGGGCAAGGGAGTTAGTCTCCTTCAAGGCTCCTTCAAGAATATATGAATCCTTCCTCTAGAGTGGCAGGAAAACCTACCTTCTCATTCTACTTGTTTTGGGGTCTCCATTCACTATTCCTTTTATCCAAACCTCAGAGAACTTTAACTAGAAGAGACCTTAAATGATACTTTGTCTCTTCCTTTTATAATAAGAAAATGGAGATAGAGAAAAGGAGATTACCTTGTTCCATGGGCCCAGTGCTATTGAGTGTCAGAAAGAGGGTGGTCCCTTTTCAGGTGGGGACTTCTCCATTGATTATACTCTACTTGGGCTGTGAGTCACATTTTATATCACAAATCAATACACACATGCTGTGTAGACATGAGTAGTTTCGGAAACAGTGCACTCTGATTTTTTTTCTATTCTGCCCATATTCAAGAAGAATATTTTGTCCTTTAAACTGATTTTACAACTCATCAGTGACAGCCTACAGTATGAAAATCTGAGAGACAGATAATTTTGCTAGCCGGACCCAGGCATGTGCTTGATGTGACTCACCTGATAGGATAAAGCTTCTAGGAGAATAGAAGCACCTTATCCCTCACCATCAGCAAATGTGGTATGTGATACTAGGTTTGAAAGGGACTGATATAAAATGCTTCTGGAAAAAGTGAAGTACTTCTGGCCTGTGTGTTTGTACAGTTTGTTCACTGTACAAAGGAACTTGGCCAATGAGGTAAGTGGGGCTGAAAATCCTCCCTATACTTCATGCCAGCCCGTGCACAAAGGTCACCCCGGGGACATTATGAGGCCCTCTTAAACAGACATGGAGAGCTTCTGGAAGTCTCTCCATGAAATTATTTTCAAGATTCCAGGTCCATAATGATGTTGCCCCACTGTGATTATGGAGCGAAGTACAAATTTAGTCCTAGTAAAACCAGAGGTGTACATGGTGGGAGACCTGGGAAATGGCAGGAATCGCTCATTGTCTTGTGTGTGTGTTTTTCCCCAAGGGGCTTTTTCGGATTTCTGCGGAGGAGATGCTCAGGGCAGAGTGAAAGCCAGGTAAATTTGAGGAAGATTCAGTGCTGTGGCCAGAGGAAACAGGAGAAATGCAGAATTAATACCTGCCTTTCTCTTTTCTAGGAGGGCTTTTTCTGGTTAAGGCGTCCACTTTGGCTTAGGGATATGTACAGACCTCTCAATGCCACACGCAAGAAAAACATGGCACAGAAGCTGCATGACAAGGAGTCTTCTGATGAGGAAGAGATTTACAAGAAGGATGCAGGGTAAATGACTGGGGACAATTTAAAACCTCATCTCAAATGGCTGGGCATGGTGACTCACACCTGTAATCCTAGCACTCTGGGAAGTTGAGGCAGGATGATTGCTTGAGCTCAGAGTTCAAAACTATCCTGAGTTCTACTAAAAATAGAAAAAGTAACCGGATGTTGTGGCAGGTGCCTGTAGTCCAAGCTACTTGGGAGGCTGAGGCAGAAGAATCACTTGGACCCCATAGTTTGAGGTTACTATGAGCTGCTCACAACATCTAGCCAGGCCAGACTCCGGCTCAACAAAAAATCTTATCTAAAATAAGGGGATGATGAGAAGTTTAACTGCTCCTTTTAAGAGTAAAAGCCTTGCCATTGTCTTCCTATTCCAGGGAGCCCACATCAACAGCAACACCTGCAGAGTCGGCTGCTGAAGGTGGTGAAAGTGAGACCGCGCCAGAGGGGGAGGACGTAGAGTGACCCAGCCTGCCTAAGGCCACCTGCAAATTTTATTTTCTAATATTGGCATCTCAGCATTGCTTGTAAGATACTTATTTTTCGCATACAAAAAACGTGTACCATCTATTGCCAATTCCAGCCAGCTGGTAAGAAATTTAAATGTTAATAGTTAAATATTTATACACGCAAAACAAGGGACATAGAAAAGAAAAGCAGGACTGAAGCCAGAGACCGTCAAGCTGGCCAACACCTCCACAAGAGGCATTGTGGGCAGAGGACGCACAGGGGCTCCCCCACCTCGTTTCCCAGTCTAGTCAGTCTCCGGGAACCTGAAAACATGACATCCTGGAGAGGGGGTGCCAATTTTTAAATCAAGTACAGTTGTTCTGGGGCTCTCTCCCCTGGTCCATTAAGAACCAGTCGTTTACAACGTACTTGACCTCCTGCCCTGAGGGAACCTTCCACCTTCTGCCACCACTCAGAGGATGGGTGGGGTTGCCAGAAATGTTTGGATCACTACGCCTACCTGCACTGTTGCGTCAAGTCCTGTCTTTTCTCCCAGGCTCCCAAATTCGTGCGTGAATGTGTGTCCTTTACCCTTTAAAGCTGGTAGAAAATTCACATTGGTTTTTTTGTTGGTTTTTTCTTTTTAAAAATCCCAACCCTTGGATAGCTACTAGGAAGGTGATGGAAGGATAAGGTACAGAAGAATGTGTGAGAGCAGTCATTTCCCAAGACTGCCCTCCTTGAGTGTTTACATGTTGTTGGGGCTGTTACTCCATTCACATGGTCTGTCCTAGCTTCTCCTGACCCTTCTGCACGCCCAGCATCACCCTGCGCCAAATCTACCCACTTTCTGCCTCACCCAAGGCAGATCATGGCTGCATTGTTCCAAGTAATAACACAGTGCCATTTTGCAGAAGATGCAAGGGTTCTTCTACTCCATCTTTAAAAGTCATTAATAAATCACTTAATAATAAGTTGGTGAAAGTTAAACACATTAGTGAGTAAAAGAAAATCTGAATGAACAAGAATTGACAGTGTACTTAACTGACCACAAATGAATGCTGGCAGTACAATCATAAGAGATGAAGAGCAGTCAGTACCACAGGACAACACACCAACCCCTAGAGAAGCCACACAGTGTATGCTGGCGAAGGCTCTAGGCAAATTGAACACCCCTCAGTTCCCCACCTGGCCGATCCGTTCACTAATGCTGGACAAGAGAGACATCTGTTCTCTCTCTCTCTCTCTCTCTCTTTTTCTATTTTTAGTAGAGATGGAGTCTCACTTTTGCTCAGGCTGGTATTGAACTCCTGAGCTCAAGCAGTCAACCAGCCTTGTCCTCCCAGAGTACTAGTACTATCCTCCCAGAGTACTAGTACAGTACTATCGCATTGGCCATACTTGTTCTATTGATGCTTGCCCTAGTGACCTCCAAAAGTTCCCTACCAAGAATGAAAAACAAGTGTCTTTCTCTGTGTTTTGACTTTGGTGAGCCATCAAACACTTACTGAAGGTCAGGTATGGTGGCTTACACCTATAATTCCAGCATTTTGAGAGGTCGAGGTGGGAGGATTGCTTGAGGCCAAGAATTCATAGTGAGACCCTATCTCTACAAAAAAATTAAAAAATTATAGGCTGGGCATGGTGGCTCATGCCTGTAATCCTTGTACTCTGGGAGGGTGAGGTAGGAGAGTCTCTTGAGCTCAGGAGTTCAAGACCAGCCTGAGCAAGAGACGCTTTAGTAGAGATCCTGTTCCTCCTAAAAATAGAAAAAAACTAGCCAGGAATTGTGTCTGTAGTCCCAGCTACTTAGGAGGCTGAGGGAAGAGGATCCCCTGAGCCCATGAGTTTGAGGTTGCTGTGAGCTATGATCACACCACTGCACTCCAGCCTGGGTGACAAGAGTGAGACCCTATCTCAACAAAAAAAAGTTTACTAAGTTTAAAACACAAAACTATATAGTAATAATTACAGGAAGCAGAAGGAGCAGCAACCATTTATGATTTGCTTACTTGGTGGCAAGCCCTGGGTTAGGCATTTTACAGCCTTGGATCATTTAGCCCAACAATCCATAGGACCATCAGATAAAGAAATGGCTCCAAGAAAGTAGGTAACCTGCCCACGTGCCCAAGGCCACACATCCAAAACTACCAGTTAGGGTTTTAACCCAAGCCTCTTAATCATTACTCTTCCGTGCTAGAGGGTATATGGAGATAGAGAAGTAGAACCCATTACTACCAGTGTAGAGTCAATAATAATAATAATACTGGGGATAATGGCTGCTACAGTATATTGGGCACCAGCTTGGGCCAGCATAATACGAAGAAGCTCTTTAGTTACACTGTTAAGTCACAAGGACAGAAATGCCACATGCCAGCTCAAACTCTGCAATGGGGTGGGGTGTTGTGAGTGTTGGACATAAACAGGAAGCTAACAGTAAACCAAGACTAGAGATCTTGTACTGCTGGGCTTCCCAGACTCTGGGCCAGGATTCCAGGCAAATCCAGGTTCCTATTTTGTCATAATTACATTATTTCCAATTTGATACACAAAGTGAGGCTTGTGTAAAACACTATCTCAAATTTGTACAATGCTTGTTAATCTTAAATGCTACCCTACTGTACTTCTATTTTTTTTTTTTTAAGAGACAGAGTCTCACTTTGTCCCCCTTGGTAGAGTACCGTGGTGTCACAGCTCATAGCAACCTCCAGCTCTTGGACTTAGGCAACTCTCTTGCCTCAACCTCCCAAGGAGCTGGGACTACAGGCGCCCACCACAACGCCTGGCTATTTTTTTGTTGCAGTTTGGCCGGGGCCAGGTTCGAACCCACCACCCTCGGTACATGGGGCTGGCGCCCTACTCACTGAGCCACAGGTGCTGCCCCCTACCGTACTTCTAAATTAAAACTCCCCAAAGTGAGATTCTACTTTGCTCTCTTCAGTGAGACCTGAGAGGTAGAGAGAGGTGGATACAAGGCCAACAGCTACTAAATAAATGAAAATCCTCACTGATTCCTATGAAAACTGTCCGAGAAATGAGACATTTTGTAAAAGATGAAGAAGTGAGGCAATGTATGATTAGAGCAAAAATAATACTGAAAAGAAATGTAGCAGAGGAAGGAAGGTTACGTGGTCTAGGGAGAGTCCGTAAAGAAAATGGAATTTCTCTGGAGTATCTGTCTTTAGGTGGTTCACTCACTCACACACTGGTGAGTTCTTGGAGGCTTCAGTTCCTCCCCTAAATGGGCCTGTGCACACACTATTTGACTGAAGGTTCTCAGGACTTGATGGTGAGCCTCCTCCAGAGTGAGTGTTCTAAGAGACAGAGACAAAGCCAGGCAGAAGTTAACCTTTTCATGACCTAGCCTCAGAAGACCTCTGCCACATAACATGAATAGAGGTCAGTCACTAAATGCAGCCCACTTTCAAGGGGAGGGAATTTAGACTTCACCTTTTGAAGAAAGAAGAATCAAAGAGCTTGTGGACATATTCTAAAACTACCTGCATATACAAAAAAGCAAACTGTTTTTCTCTACCACTACTGTCATTAGATCAGGGCTAGGGGGATGGTCCCCCCCCCACCACGCAATTCTCTAATTCTCCATGGGTGTCCGACAGTTTAAATAGTATCAGACCCCACCAGATAAGGGTTCAGTCCCACAAGACTGCCCCCTCTTGAGAAGCCAATCAAAAGCCTAGGAAGTCTTCTGTGCTTCTGATCAACTGGTTATAAATTGGAAGTTCACATACCCCGCTCCTCGGGTTCTATCATTTGCCAGAAAGGTTCACAGAATCCAGAAAAACATTTTACTTAACTATTGCCGATCTACTACAGAGATATTTTAAAGAGTACACATGAACATCCAGATAGAGAGATGCATGGGGGAAGCTCTGGGGAGGTCCTCAACGGAGTTAGGGTGTATCACCCCACTGGCACGTGGATGTGTTCACCAAGCTGCAAGCTTTCCAAACCGTTTTAGGAATTTTTATGGAGGCTTCATCTCATAGGCTTGATTGATTATTAACTCATTCCCCAGTCCCACTCCTCTCCTTAGAGAATGGGGAGTGAGGCTAAAGGTTCTGAGCTTCTAGTCATGGCTTGGTCTTTCTGGGTCCAGCCCCATCCAAGAGCCCACCAAGAGTCACCTCATTAGAACAAAAGATGCTCCTATCACCCCCCAAATTGAAGGCATTTAAGAGCTCTGTGTCAGGACCCAGGGTTAAGGACAAAATATTGGAACAAAAGATGCTCCTAGCACCCCTATCCCTCAGGAAACTGTAAAGGCTTTTCAGAGCTTTATATCAGGAAAGACCAAATGTATGTTTCTTACTATGTCACACTACCATATGCAGGAGAACAGAAGCCACTCAAGATAGGGCGTTTATATATGCAACTGGTGCTTATCATTAAAGGGGCTAGAGATGGTGAAAGTTGGGGGTTAGGGAGCTTGTACCACCAGCTTTCAGGTAGCTTTATCACAGCTGGTTTCTGGAGAATCAAAGGAGTCAAGAAACTTGGGGAAAACACTGCTGAGGTCATTGCAGCCCCATGGCCCCCAGTGGGTGATGGATACGGGAATGAGGAGTCCAGCTGGCCACTAGAGCCTACACATCTGCTGCTACCTCCTTCCACCTTCCCAGTTTCACATGAGTCTACTGGCAGCACCCTGTGGGCAAGGCACTTTAAGATGTGGCTCCTGGGCTCCCAGCACCTGCCTAGAAAGGGATGGAAATGGGTGTTGAGACCCACCTGACACTGCAGCCCGGCTCCACATCCAGGTGTGTGAGGAGCTCCACTTCACTCGGAGGGTCCCCTTTTGGGTCGGTTTATGAGTGCCCAGGGCTTTGTGAAAGAAGAGGGGCAGTAGTAATGTGGTAGAGACTTAGCTAAGTCATACAAGGATGTCATTTTAGTTGGGTGGCAGGTGACATGCAGTCATCTCCAGAGGTAATCAGAGAAACACCTGGGATTGATCCATAGTTTGATCTGGAATGTTCTCACCTGACTGAAAGCTG